CATCAAGTTTGTTACAGAACACCCATTTCGTACCAATAATCGTACGATCATTGGGCCTTGGCACAAATTCCCAAATGTCATTCCGTTTGAATTGGTTTAGCTCCTCTTGCATAGCCAAGGTCCAATGTTCGTCGTTTATTGCTTCGAAAATGGTTGTAGGTTCAATTTGAGAAACAAAAGCCATGTGTCCTACGGTGTCCCTAAGTGAGTTACGAGTACTTACCCCGCGGTTGATGCTACCGATTACCTGGTCAAGCGGATGGTTCTTGTTCGTTCTCCATTCAATGGGAAGCTCGGTTGCTTCTTCTTCGTGTTCCTCTTGTTCTTCTTCTTCCTCTTGATTTTCTTCTTCACCTTGGTTAGTCGCTTGAGGCATCTCCCCAATTTGTGGCTGCGTGTTGGTGTATATTCCCGTGTTCTATTCATCGTCTTTGACGTGTATCCTCTCTAGTGACTCTGCAAGATCATCACAAACATCCTTTCTCGCCAATCGAGGGTTATCTTCAGAAAATACAACGTTAGGGGACTCCTCAATAGTCAAGGTTCGTTTGTTAAAGACTCTATAGGCCTTGCTACGAAGTGAATAACCTAGAAAAATTCCTTCATCCGACTTGGCATCAAATTTGCCCAAATTGTCTTTGCCATTGTTATGAATAAAACATTTGCAACCAAAGACTCGAAGATGGGAAAGGTTTGCCTTCCTCCCTTTGTATAGTTCATAAGACATTTTCATGAGTATCGGTCGAATGACGGCTCGGTTTAATACGTAGCTCGCGGTACTCACGGCATCCGCCCAAAAATACTTAGGGATTTTTGCCTCATTGATCATAGTTTAGCCATCTCTTCGAGACATCTATTTTTACGTTCCACCACTCCATTTTGTTGTGGTGTACGTGGGGCTGAGAAATTATGATCAATGCCGAGTTCGTCACATAAATCTGAGAATAGATTTCATTCGAATTCTCCCCCATGGTCGCTTCTTGTGGCTACTATGGTTGTTTCTTTTTCATTTTGAACTTTCTTTAGAAAATTTTTGAAAACGTGAAATGCCTCACTTTTGTGAGTTAGAAACAAGGTCCATGTAAACCTAAACAAATGCAAAGTAATTACCACCAAAACTTTTCGTTCTAGAAGGACCAAAGAGATCCATGTGCAAAAGTTGAAGCGGTCTAGACGTTGAAACAACGTTCTTGGACTTAAGCGAAGCCCGAACTTGCTTCCCCTTTTGACATGCATCACATATGGTGTCTTTTTCAAACTTAAGTTTGGAATGCCAATTACTAAGTCTTGTGAAACCAATTTATTCAAAAGGTTCATGTTCAAATGAGCTACCCTTCGGTGCCATAACCAAGTGTCTTCTTCTTTACTCATGAGGCACTTAGCAAAGCCGGAAGGAGATTTGTCTAAGTTAACCATATATGTTATCGATTCTATTACCACGTAGAATGACCTTATTGTCACTAAGGCGTTCTACCGTGCATGATTTTGAATCGAAGGTCACACGGTTTCCCTTTCACATAATTGACTTATGCTCAAGAGATTGTGTTTAAGACCTTTAACTAGCAAGACATTATATATAGAAGAGTCTTTGGACTTACCTACCGAACCGATGCCGATAATGTAACACCCTAATCCGTCCAGGTCTGCAGCACCTTTCGGACTAAAGTATTAACTTGGTAATCGTAAAATTTAAAACTTTTCAAACACTTTTATTTATCACGATAATATTTTTCGTAACATATACAGTGCGGAGTTTTCAATATTGCGGAAGCTTAACAAATCATAATTACAAACATAATTTGTTTATGTTCTTTAATTCAAAACCATCACATCCATTCCGACAATCTTGCCTCCGTCTGCCTCCAGAATCACATCACATCACATCATTCTTTCTATTAACCTGCGTGTAGCAAATAAAACATACTAAACGCTCAGCGGTGAAGCTGAGTAAGCACATCTAAAGCGTCGAACATCCATATAAATTGAACCCAAATTCATAATCAAATCATTTGATATCATGCACAAAGTATTCAGTTCAAATATACAATAATCAATATTCAACATTCGTCATTCAATATTCATATTCAACATTCAACATCCTCATTCAATAATATCCTTAAACTATTCTTAGTCTAAGGCCAATCTATTTGATGTTTACCAACTCTTAAACGAATTCTAGTTTAAGATATTTAAACTATATTCGAGTTTAAGGTACTCTTAACTAACCCTTAAGCTAGGCCTAGTTTAAGATACAATTTTTCAAAAATAGGTTTTAAAAATCTTAAACTTACCTTCGCTTAAGGTCATCCAGAAACCGAACAGCGGAATGCTCACTGTCGGGTTGGGTGGTATCCCCAAACGAGTTCCTCTAGTTTGGTTTGTAGATCCCGTACGTACGTTTTAACCCAGGCCACCGAATATTCATAATTATACCCGCAAGGCCTATTTCTAAGTCATCTTAGAGGTCTTCTAGATAGTCTTAGAAACCAACGTCAACCTAGGTATATCTTAGAGTTCTTCTAGATATCCTTAGAATTCAAATCATTTCATAATCATCAACATATTCATTTCAATTCATAATTTAATATTCAATAATCATTTTAATCAGTAGTTTCATCAAGTCATAATCATCATAATAATCATTCATCATAATCATCAATCAACATAACATTTGATAACAAACAGCGGCCTAGTCTCGAGTGTTAACACCCGAACTTACCGTCATGCATCACATAGTATTTTATATGCCAAAAACATCATTTTTATTATATAAAATCATATTTATATTGTGCATAATTAATTGGTATCAAAAATAGGATTTCATAGTTCAAAAATCATGTTTTCTAAACAATAATTGATTAATATATGATAGGAAATTCAATTATTAACTATTAGCTTCATTTTCTTCAATAGTGTAGGGAGACACTCTACTGTCACTTATGATAATCTACTGTCTGATGTTCAGAATGGGCTGATAATCGATTATCACACTCTGATAATCGATTATCAAACTTCAAAGAGGGCTGACAGTCGATTGTCACATTCTGACAGTCGACTGTTGCTCAGCTCTGTTCCAAAAATCTGCAGAACAAGCCACAGTCGATTTTCAAGTTGATAATCGACTGTTCATCGTCTTCTACCTCGAGTCATCTTGCGGAAATGTCATTTTTACTTCCCAAACTTCAATTAAAGTATATAAAAATGTTCTCCAAGGTTCATGGATCATTTTAGCATTATTAATTCATAATTCTAACATCAATTTCATGGTTTATGATTCTTAGTTCTTCAAGCATGTCAAACACAAAACTCTACCAAATGACCATTTATGAACGTAAAAACGACCTATATGAACATTCTAGTCATTAGATATATCTACGGGCTTACCTCGAAGCTAAATGAAGGTTTTGAAGATTTTCCGGCGAAACTTCCGGCGATGATTACTCCCAACTCCGGCGACTTCACACCAAACTAACAACACCATTGCACTCCTCTCTCAACAAAGAACAAAATGGAAGAAAGATTAAGATGATTTGGTGAAGAATTGAAGTTGTTGTTGAAGTATATATAGGGAAAGAATGGAGAAGCTGCCAAGCTTGGTGATGTCCGTTTCTTCCTGTTCGGGCGGCTAGTGGAGAAGGAGGCGATTGCTTCTGATTTCAAATGTAAGTCCCTGATTGGGACTAATTTGGTCCTAGTCGGGGAACACTTTTTGGTCCAACTTTATCCGAATTGAATTCCGTTTGCACCGTTGCGATCAGATAGTCAAGTTCTATTCAACGATATAGTTTTTATATTTATTTGAAATACTTTTTCTGGCAGCATCTTTTTGGGTGGTTGACTTTGACAGAGTCAAAATTGATTTAGTTGACCTTTATTCAAAAAGGTTCTCTTATTTCATTCATTTTATTTACTCTTATGATTTATTTCAATAAATAATTTCAAAGTTCACATCACAAGTCAATTTCTTAATTTATTCTTGATCTGGGTATAGACTCAGGTTCCCAATCAAGATCACATAATAAGTCAATATATGGAATTTATCTCTTTGAAATTTATCCAGATTAAGATATTGGATATCAAAACACATTTCATTTCGGCCCAAAGCCCAATAACTATTTATTTTAATCGAAACAAATTTGACTAATTGAATATTTATTCATTAAAAATTTTAGGGTATGTTTTGGGCCGTTACAGATAATTTTTCCCTTGCTATTATCTCCAAAGACTACGTTTCCTCCTTTAGCGGGTTTGATTTGTAAGAACTTGGATGCATCTCCGGTCATGTGCTTGGAGCATCCGTTATCAAGGTACACTTGATGCCTTCAAGCACACCTACAAAAATGATTTAATCAGATTTACGTACCCAAGTCTTTTTGGGTCCTTGAGTGTTAGGTGCAAAGTGGTAGTGTGATTCATTTTGTGCCCAATGCCTATGCCTAGTAAAGCAAACGGGAGCTATATGTCCTACCCTATTGCAATAGTGGAAAACTACGTTTGGGTTGTGCATCCTCCTAGGTTGATAATAGTTGCTAGGGGGCCTAACCATATTCATCCTATTTTGGGAAAATATTGGTTTTTGAAAATTCTCTCTTCTAGGTGTTCTAGCATTATTTTATCTATTTGAAAAATTATTTTTATGCACAAATTCATTTTGACAATTTTTCCTAGATTGTCTAACATGCACATTTTCATTCCTAGGTTTTTGTTTAGGTTGTCAAGTGTCCTTAGGTTGACTAGATTTTCTATTATCCTGATTTTTACCTTTCTTATGTTGAGCCTTAGGAGGTTGTCTAGGTGTTTGCTCAACGTCTTTATCCTTAGATTCATTTTTATCAAAACCTATTCCTTCCTTAGAAAAATGCATAGTGTCAAGGAGTAAGTTAAGATCTTTGTGTGGTGTATTGAATTTCTTAACCGTACTCTCAAGTTTTGCAACCTCTTCTTTTAAAGCTTTGCAAGATTCACATTCGCTTGAAGAGCTTTCTGGTTTGTCAGCGCTTCTTTTGCCATAAAATTTATTTTCTTGTTTCAACTTTTCATTATCTTTTTCTAGTTTTTCAAAATCATTTTAAAGAGTTGAAAGACGTTTCTTCAATGATTTGTTTGTTTTAGAAGCGCTAACAAATTCATCATAAACCTCTCGAAGTGCTTCTTACATCTCTTCAAAAGTGTAAGAGTCGGAAGAAGGGGTACATACCTCTTGTACTTCATCGGCGTGGTCTTCGTGTGCCATGAGGCAAAGGTTGGCGGCTTCTTCCTCTTCTTGGTCAGTTGACTCGTCGCTGGAGTCGCCACCCATGAGATATAGGCACGTTGCTTTTTGAAGCCAGGTTTGTCCTTGCCGCTTTTGCCTTTTGGACACCTCGGCTTGATGTGGCCTATCTCGCCACAGCCATAGCACTTCGGGGGACCGTCGTGCTTTCTTCCTTTCCGTTCAAATTCCTTCTTCATGAATTTGTGAAATTTCTTGATGACGAGTCCGAACTCGTTTTCGTCATCGCTTGAGACTTCTTCCACGGTCTCCTTGGTTTCTTTGAGTGCTATTCCATTCTTCTTTTGTTCATCCAAAGACGGGGTTAGAATAGTAGATTCATAAGTTTTGAGGTTACCTCTTAGCTCGTCGATGGTGACGTTGGAGACTCCGATGGATTTGTAGATTGCGTCAGCCTTTGATCTCCATTCGGGTGTGAGACTCCGTAGAATTTTCCTCACAAGATCCTTGTTGGCGTAAGTCTTCTTGAGGGCATGAAGGTCGTTGATGATCTTGGAGAACCGATCGAACATGTCATCGATCTTTTCGCCTTCCTTCATCCTAAACATCTCGTACTCCTGTGTTAGGAAGTCAATTTTGGCTTCCCGAACATGGTCCGTACCTTCGTATGTGACCTCCAGCTTGTCCCACATTTCTTTGGCGGTGGTGCAGCAAGAGATCTTGCGATAATCATCGGGGTTGACTGCGCAGTACAGCATGTTGATTGCCTTGGCGTAGTTCTCCACCTTTTTGATGTCTTCGGCATCAAATTCGTCCTCGGTCTTTGGGACGAGTTTTTCACCGACCTTCTTCATTGGCGTTTCTTCACCGTTTTTGATGACCAACCACAACTGGAAGTTGGTTGAGCGGATATAAATTCTCATCTGCTCTTTCCAATAAGTGTAGTTGGTGCCATCAAAGAGCGGTGGCCTGGAAGTTGATTGACCTTCTCCGATCCTTGCATAAAGATTTCTAGAAGAAGAACCAATGATCGCTTCACTCTCAAACGGTTAAGTTTGGACGCGAGTTAGGCTCTGATACCAATTGTTAGAATAATAGACCAACGCTAGAGGGGGGGTGAATAGCGTTTGATTGTAGAAATCGCAGATATAAAAAATTCAAAACAGAAGTAAAGAGAAGAGTAAGAGGCACACCGAATTTTACCCTGGTTCACCACAACTTGTGGCTAATCCAGCCTCCCGAGAGACTCTCTCGAGCTACACTACTATCTCGTTAAGCTTAACGGTGCTTAACAAACCCTTACAACTTGAGAATTCGAGTCAAATGAACCTCAATGAATCCTTCAAAGGAAACAACCCTTCCTTTGAATCAAACGAGAGAAATACTTTCTCTCTACGTGTCTAAGAACACAAATACACTCAAGAACAACTCAAACTTCACACGAATTGGCTCTAAAAATCTATGGAAAAAGATGTTGTTTGAATGCAATGAAAGTATGAGAATTGTGAAGTGAATTAATGAGAAAAGCAGACCCAAACACCCCTTTTTATAGTGCCAAAATAGGCTCCAACGGACCAATACATTAAAGGGGTGATTGGCTTGATTTATGGGATTGAATAAATTGTGGATCTGCAGGATATTGGCTTCCCAGCGATGCATGGACCTTACCCATCGCTGGTAGGCCAATTTTCCTTCAGTTTTGAAGCCAACGGTCACCTACCCATCGATGGGTACATGCTTCCCATCGCTGGGTGGGAGGTTGACTTCCAAACAAGGAAAGAATCAACCTTAAATGACTTCCAACGGTCATTCCTTCCCAGCGATGGTTAAGCCTTCCCATCGATGGGGTAAAGTCCCCATCGCTGGGTAAGGTCGTTCTGCCTTGTGTTGATGTTGGACCAAGGCTTTAATAGCGATGGGTAGAACTTCCCATCGCTGTTTGGCATGGTTCTGGAACTTGGTTGGGCTAAAGAACCGCTTACCCATCGATGGGTAAATCTTCCCATCGCTGGGTGGATGGTTAGTCAAAAACCTATGGTTTTTGCCTTAACCACGGCCTAGCCAACTGATGCAAAAACCGACCGAAAAATTCAAAGTTCTCCAAAATAAAAACCAAGTGTTTAAAACACTTGTTTGATGTATTTGGCTAAGAAATCAAGTGAGACACTTTAAAAACCACGTCACTTGGGTAAAAACCACGGCTAGCCAAGTTTATGTCGTTTTACGTGGTTTTTCCCAAACGACCAAAAACAAAAGGTGGTTTTCAAGGTGTTTTTGTTGGAGAACTGTTTAAACATGCCAAAGAGTAAAAACCAATCATAAAATGTTGGAAACCACTTGGTTGGTTCGGAAGCCAAAAACCAATGCCGATAACCGAATGCCGAACGCCGGTTTCTGAAAGCCGAACGCCGGATGGCTTGGTTTTTGGTTTGGGCGAACAACAAGTGTTTTTGATGACTTAAACATGTTTGAAAAACATTTTTATGATGTAAGAAATGCAATGAAAAGATTTTAGCCTAAAGAGCAAAGGTGTAAAGATTGAGTCGGTCTTGATCACAATAAGGACCGACTCAACGATACTAAGACTATGGTCTTCGTTCTTGGTCTTCGTTTAGCTCTTGTTCTTATCTCCGTTCTTCGCCTTGTATATTCAATTTGTGTCGTGATCACGGAGGTTTGGCATTATCAAAACCTGTCACAAAAACGAACACGACTTTAGTACGAAAACGTGACAAGCCCGTGTTTCAACAGCCCCCAGTGTTACACCCATTTCCATTGCTCTAAGGGGTGGCCTCGGTGATAAAAAATCGAACTAACATGGTATTTTATTGAATCACAATGATATTAAACCGTTTATCATGCTTTTCAACGAAATTTGTTTTTTTCATCTTGAACCGAATCCAACTCGAATGCAAACAGAACTAGACTGTGACACAAAGATTTCAAATTCATTATCACGTACCGAATCTTTTGACATTAATTAACAACGAAATATCTCATGTATTTATTTGTGTACCTAATGTTATCATATATAAAGTACTCAGTATTGTGCATTCCATCTTTTAAATTTTCTTTTAACATTTTTATTCTTATTAAATTTACTACTGTAGTGTTATTTTAACGACTATCATTTTGTTTTATATTATGTATTCTTAATAGTCTAGTGTTGTATTATTAGAAACAGGGTGGTTAACATGACATTACTCAGCAATGTCATAGGATAATCTGGGGGCGCTCTAGTGTCCCGTTCGCAAAATTGACGGTTCCTACCCCCTAACCCCCTCCCCCCTCCACGTTGCACCGTCCCGAACACACCCCTCACCCCCTTCAATTAAACCAATTTCTATATATATATATATATATATATATATATATATATATATATATATATATATATATATATATATATATATATATATATATATATATATATATATCGACTCGAGTTAGATGACACCTAACAAACAGAGGACATGCTTTGGTCAAATGACAATAAAAAAGTGATTAGAGCGCTCCCAAATTACACTGCAAAGCTCACCATTTTCTAATGCAAAGCTCACTTAGAATTAAATCAAAGCTCGCCACTTTGAACACCAAAAGTCACATCACTTTTAAACTTTAAAAATATAAGAATTAATTAAAAGTAAAATAGCAACACCGGTGAACCACCGATCAGTGGCGATTGGTGACCAGTGGCGGCAATCGACGGCAGGCGGCGGTCAACAGATGTAGTTAGCGGTCAATGTTTAATTTAGTCAACATGGTACAAAGTCAACTCCTTTGATTTATTTTTTTTTGGAAAAACAAAGTGTTGAAAAAACAAGGTGAACTTTGCCAAATAGCTTGGGTGAGCTTTGCAGTTACTGTGGGTGAGCTTTATAATTGGCAGTGGTGAGCTTTATGTCATCTGACCGAAGCATGTCATCTTACCATAAGGTGTCATCTGGCTTGTGTGTGTGTGTGTGTATATGTATGTATGTATGTATGTGTATATATATATATATACATATACATACATACATACATATATATATATATATATATATGGGCTGGTTCAGGTGAGAATGCACCTTGGTGAAAGAAATAAGAATAAAATCGAGCCTTTAGATCTGATGCATCGTGCGGCTCAGATTGCATCATGTGCTCAGATTTTGAGATAGTGCATTTTCAAAGGTTTTTGGTGCATTTCGACATGATGCATTTTCAAACCATTTTGGTGCACCTAATTTTGATGCAATCATTACCCTTAGATCTTACAATCTAAAGCACTAGATTCATTCTTATTTCTTTCATAAGATCGCATTCTCACCAGAACCTATATATATATATATATATATATATATATATATATATATATATATATATATATATATATATATGAACTCCACTCATATGATAGGGAGCTCCACTGCCAATCAACCAATCAAAAGAAATATTACGCATACCATTATACTGATTTGAGGTGGAAGACTCAAGCAAAGACATAAGACGAGCCATTTGATCGATGAGATTTCCTCCACTAGCCTCCTCTCGTACAGTGTGGACCGTTGCTTTACCGCTGGTGGTACACCTGGAAGAATTGCCATTGGAGTGACCTTGCTGGACGGTCAACCGTCTGCTGCAACGGCCCCTACAAGACAAAAAGAGATCCCCACGTGCATTATTGTGGCGTCCTCCCCCACCACGACCATAATTAGTCAAAAGAAGAAAAAATTCAAAACATGTCTCAACGCTATGATTATTTCACCCGCAATGTGAACACTGCAAGCGTGCGGCGGAAGTGGGTGTGGGAGGCTTTGCGGCAAAAGCAACAGCTTCAATGCTATCATCGTGACCACAAACAATAATTTTATGGCGTTCTTCTTGTGAAATCAGATGGAAAACTTGATCCAGGTCTGTTACAAGTTATATGCCAACCAATTGTGAACGGAGACTTCCAAATTGTTCATCATTCAAATCCAGCAAAAAGTCAATGGTTTTGTCTTGCTAATTTTGTGCGCGTATCACTGGGGCTGCTAGACTTGCGCAGCCCCATGTGGGTTCTTTCATACCATGAAGCTGGTTCCACAAAGTAATGAACTGATTGTAATACATGATTACACTTTGACCTTTTTGGCACAAAGTGTTTAATTCTACCTTTAACTGATAAATTTTGGTACCATTAGAACATCTGTAGCATTCTTTGAGATTAGCCCACAATTCATAAGCAATTGTATGTGACACAATACTAGGCTGAATAGATTCATCTACCCTATTAAAAATCCAGCTACATATGATTTGGTGATTTGCATTCCACACATCCAATTCATGAGGATTCGTAGGAATCCCATTAATTGTAAGAAAATCAGCTTTACCACGTCCTCCTAACACATTCCGAATAGCTTTCTCCCAAATATCATAGTTATCACATCGAAGAAAGTACTTAGTCAAGGAATTATCAGCGTGTTTGGATGGATGGAGATAGTAGATGGTGGAAGGAACGTGGATGAGCGTTGTCCGTTTTGGCATCCTCTTGGTGGTGGACATGATGATGCACGACCTGGATGTTCATAGCAACAACGGGATACTTGTTCGACAAGGACCTTGTTGCACTTCCGACGTGACAAACTCGGCGACCAGAAGCGGCGCAGACAAGCGGTCTGATTCAGTCGTCCTACGGCGATGATACTGCCGACTAGCGTACCTAGGGTTTTGGAAGGGAACTCGAGGATCGCTTCGATACCATGTAAAAATTTAGAACTGAATGACATGCTTTCACTAATTACAAACCGAGTATTTATATGCAAGAAAATACGAGGCCCAAATACACGACCCATAAACATCATTACAATGATGACACGTCTTTTTCATCACATGATGAAGAGTTGTTTTGGAAGTGCAATTAAAAATTATTTTCAATGTGATGTTTATGTATTGTGAAACATCTTGAAACCCAAAATATATATGATACCCCATTGGGAAGTGTTATTAAATTGAAACACCCCCACCGTCCTGTTATAAATCATCCATTTTGACTTTGAGGCATATTTAAATAAGAGAAAAAATAGAGTTGACTTTTTGAAAATGTCATTACTTTTTAGGAGGGGTGACGATGAATAAGAAGATAAGGTGGAGAAGAGTGACTTATTTTAGGGGTAGTTTAGGTATTTTACTCTTAAAAGTTTACGATAACAAGAAACAAACAACTTATTTTGGGACGGAGAAAAAAGGAAAACAAGCAATTTAAAATGGGACAAATTTGAGTAATAATGAAGACATTTGTGATAATTTTACAATGTGAAACATCTTGAAAATCGAAATATAAAGTGCTCAATCATGAAGTGTTATTATAAAAAAAATAGTACTCCATAATGTATAGATGAGTTATTAGTATTTTTTTTATTGCATTTTTCAATAAAATTTTGACTATATAAATATAATTTAATTGGGATTATGCGAGCCCATGCGAAGCACGATTTAAAAAACTAGTGAATATATTTCTCGTCTAAATGTATTCGTCCAGTTTTATTTTTTTTAGTTAAGCTGGATAAATTTTAATCATCAATAATAAATTTAAAAAAAAGCATAAGATAAATCAGATTAATTTTTTTCTACTATATAATAAATTTTTTAATTAATTGATGATCAAAATTTATTCATTTTATTTACTTGAAGTAAACACAGTATTTTGTAATTAAAGCACACACACTTTACACTTACACAAACATGGACACACAAATAAATGGAATTCTTAAGGAAAACAAACCATAAAGTTTATGTTTACAACAGTAACCCCACCTGTAAGTCTAAGACATATATACATACAGAGACAAATATAACTCCCTTGCGCAATTCTCAAGGGAGATAAGAAAGTCCCATTGCCGAATTTAGATAATTAAGGCAATGAATAGAAGAGCTCTCGAAAGATAAAGCCAAAAAAATTTAAATTTTGAAATAAAGCTAAATGAAAACAAATCTTTTTCCACAAATGGCATGAAAAAGAAGAATAAACTACTATATCTATACATACATTTGTAGCGGTATATATTCTACTTCGTTTCTTGCATGTTATCTTCACTTCTCCATACAACATCATCAAGGGAAGTTGCAAGATTTTTATAGAACTGCGGGGGGGGAATTTAACAAAAAAACAACAATCATAATTATAATCATAATCATAATCATAATCATAATGAACTTAGGTTGATGAATGATTTGTGTAGCAGATATGCTAATCGACTCGACTAAAAATATGTTCCCTTTCTTAATCAAAAACCAAAATCACAGCATTTATTTACCTTATGGAATTCCAATGTGTCCCCTTTTGATTTTCTCACTTCAACCACATGTACAGAAGGAGCAACTTGGAATACCTAGAGCAAGAGCGTTAGTTTTCCACCCAAACTAAGGCTCGTTTTGTAATATGCCATGTTTTGTGGTTTAAATTTTCATTTCTTTTGTTTGGTTTCGGTTGAAATTTCTAAATATAAAACATGTTTGGTAGTAGTTCTGTTTTCTATATGTGATTCTCTGTTTTTTACCGAGTAAGGCTGTGTACATCTTGACCCAACGGAGTTGGGATTTTACTAAGTTATGTTGTCGTCGCAAAAATCGACAACATGTTATCGAAAACAATGAACAAAATGATGATATTCATATCCATGCATGTACCTCAGTTGCAACATTTAGATTTCCTTTTCTCCCTGCTTTTATGTTTTCCAACCGCATCTGACATGGGAAACAAACAAGTTACCACTTTTCTACCAATAAACATTCTATTTCCACCTTTTTATCTTTTGTTGGGCCAAGCTGATGCATAATCTAAACTGAGTGAAATGGGTCACCACCTTGTAGTTCTTTTTGTGAACATCAAAGCCAAGTGGTTTTGCTGCTTCTTCAATCTTGCTGATTATCTCGTTGGCAGGGCGTTTGGATGTGAATCTTGTTTCTCTCTTGAACCCCTGTGGCATTATAGGTTACCTAAGTTGACTGTTTTATATTAGGTGTAAGGACAGCATGAGTTGTTTAAATGGCCCCACAAATTGCACAGACGACAAAAGGGTCATTGAAATATTGTATGAATGCCTATTTTCGTATTCCATAAATTTTTTATAAAACATAAACCCTACAATATCCTCCAACCAAACTGATCCTAATGTACTGTGCAGAGGAAAATGTACCTGCTCATCAAATAGATTCTCAAGGTTGAGACCTTTAGACATGGAAATTAACTCAAACGCGTTCATAGCAGTTGGCTGCTGCTCTTCCTTTTTCTCTGTAACGTGATGCTCCTGTTATCATTACAGTGCAAAAAAAAAGTGAGCCACAAGTTATTCAACGCAGAAACGATCTCTTTTTTGGTAAACTCACTTCAATATCTTGAAAAACAGCTTCAATATCATCAAGGTTTGCATCTTTGTTCTCGTGAAAAACAGGTTGTTTATAACTTTTCTTAAACCACTCTTCTTGCAAAAGTTGAGGAATGGTAATCCGCTGCATAATTCACAAAAGACATTGATAAAAAAAACTAGAGTGGTGTGTATTTATTATATTCCTTTATGTTAGATGTCTTAACAAAACTGAGCTTACAGTTACGGGGTTCGGATCAAGTATCCTTGTAATAAGCTTCATGGCACCAAAAGAGAACCAAGGAGGGCAAGTATATTCGGCACAAGAGATCTGCAAGGAGGGAGAGCTTAACAAGTAAGACTCACAAAAAGGCAAAAGCGATCGGCTCCAAGATTTTGGATTCTCACTTTTTTATATAAGTTGACAATGTTTGAATCATCGAAAGGCAAGTAACCAGCAAGCAATACAAAGAGAATAACTCCACAAGACCACATATCAGCAGTTGACCCATCATAACCTTGATCGTCCAGAACCTAAGAAAAAAGAATATGATGCACGGGAACACTCATGAACGCTGCATTCTATAGAATTCAAAATTTTTTCATTTCAATTTGCGCTTACAAAATTATATACCTCTGGAGCAACATAATTGGGAGTTCCACATGCTGTGTGAAGTAACCCGTCCTCCTGCCAAGATCAAACTGTAAAATGGAGCATTGCATTCTAGGATATCGAGCTTTCCGTTAAATCATCAGTGAGAGAGGAAAAGAAAGATCAGTTCAATACCCTGACTTGCTGGGACAAAGCGCTCAATCCAAAGTCAGAAACTTTGAGGTTCCCATTAGCATCCAACAACAGGTTTTCCGGCTGCACCAGAAACCAAACAGATAAAGATACAGTGAAGTATAAGAGATCCTGGGAAAAAAGAATAATACTTCCTGCGTCCCATAAGGTTGTTCTCATTTTGGCTTTTAGGAAATTTAAGGGAGGGATATTTCTATTGTTGACTTTCCAAAAGTACCCTTGATGTGATGGGTAAAAATATGATGTCTGGGGTAGATTATTAGTAAAAAAGTATGATGTGATAGGTAGGATAATAATTAGTACGGATAAAAGTGGTTTTCTAATAGAAAGAGGAAGGACTTTGTGGGACACAAAAATAAAGAAAGGTCTTTTTGGGGACGGAGGGAGTATGTGGTCTATAGTCTGGTAGAGCACTAAAGCTAGACAACCCACCTTTAGATCTCGGTGGTAGACTCCTCTGCTATGGCAATAATCAACTGCATTAATAAGCTGTTGGAAATACTTCCTTGCCTCATCTTCCTTCATCCGTCCGTGATTTACCTTCATACTCAGCAAGTTAGTAAGGGGAAAAAAATTAAACTAGGAGTAAAACATAGAGAACGTATCAAAATAGGAGCTCCATGTTTTTATTTTTAAAATAGGAGTTACAATGCCAATAGTGTCAACATATAATACCAAAAAAACATTGTGTAATGCCAATATACAGTGCCACATTGTCGCAATGCAAACTCCTATTTTGAGGATAAAAACATGGAGGTCCTATTTTAGAGATAAGAGTTATGTTTCACTCCTATTATGGGCGATTTCTTATATGGGGTAAGTGGCCTTAAACCGAATATTAGTTAATAAAATGGATCCAATTGTAACATGGCAGGGTTAAAATGGAAGAATTTGCAGACAATTTTGTCGAAAAGCTCTCCTCCAGTAACAAACTCCAAAACAATGTATATTTTGGTCTTGCTTCCCATAACCTGACAGAAGATGAAGTAAACAACCTAAGACAAACTACGCAATAAATTGATGAAACATATTTGTTTTTGTCACCCAGATAAATTATGTTAGAGCAAGAAAACTATATAAAAGATTAAAGACATTTGTTGTTTGTTTCAATATCAAATTACATGAAATCAAGAGAACTATGAGGCTTAAATTGAACAGTTTTAGGTGGCATATATTTGTGTTCTTCCTTGTTAGTGCACAGAAACACACAAACATCAAGACTACGTGTGAAAATAAACACAGAGGAAGAATAACCTCATACAATCGAACGACATTTGGATGCCTTATCAACTTCATCGTAGCAATTTCCCGCCTGATCTATTAAATCAAGCATATATTAACATCACAGAGCAAAAGATAAAAACTAAACAGAGAAGCTGAATCAATAAAAAATCCACAATCTAATATGTTTTTATATAAATGGTAAAAGAATATTTCCATCCCCCTATGGAGACAAAGATTCACTATTTTTTGGCTTTGGGTTATGATCGAATAAAGCAAATTGGCTGTATAAACTGTCTGCGCTTATTGCATGGTGATGTAGCAGTTAGTTAATGCAACTTTCTATGCTCATCATGGGTCATCTGGAAACAGCCGCTCTATGTTTTAAACATAGGGGTCAGACTACGTACATCCGACCCCCCCATACCCCACAATGTGCGGGAGCCATTGAGACACTGGGGTAATGTTGTTGTTTGGTAAAAGAATCTGAAGGATTTCTGCTCATAAGAATAATAATAATAATAATAATAATAATAATAGTAATAATAATATCATTACTGAGTATACAAAGGAACTGTTTGGTGTAAGATGTACCTGCTCTGCCATTTTGTGTTTGAGGACCTTATCCTTGTCGAGGATCTTGAGAGCAACGGGTTCTCCCGTCTCAGAATTCCTTCCAAATTTAACTTTGGCAAATGTCCCCTCACCTATTGTCCTCCCCACTTCATATTTACCAACTCTACGCTTGATTTCCGACGGACTCATGATAAACTCACTATATATCCTAAACCCACAATATGTTCCTCCCAAAATGTGATGCTGCACATTTATTACACGTAAGGATAGATTCCACAATTTTACTTAAGAGTGTGAGAAGGGGACAATCAAGATGTCTCAGCCTTCTAATTATTATAGAGCTAAACCAAACAAAAAAACCAGTATATCTCACTCAAGAGTAGGGTATAGGGTCTAATTAAAACATAAATTCATATGAAGTACGAGTATAATACGGAGTAGTCTACAAAGTACTTGGACATATCTTCAACCAGATCAATAATAGAGAGCTAGAATCCCTTTAAAAAAAGAGTTAGAATGACTAAAATTAAACTATGAAAGGGATATATTGATCAAAACAAGAATGAAGAATTGCTGTAATAATCTATGGAAAATGATAAGCATTGAGAAAAAGAAGCCCACACCTCAAAACACTAAATTCTAACCAAATTCAACTGCATGAAAAAGGAAACCTATCTTTCTCAGGTAGCATAACCCAAAATTCACTGAACTAACTAAGCACCCAAAATGAGAGGATTGAAAGCTAAGACTCAACCCAACAGTCAAAGATGTAAGAAATTGGAACAATCTGCCGGAAAGAGGGAGAAGAAGCTTCCAATCAAGGTCTACAAAAGAGGTTTACAAATCACCTATCCCTCCAAAAAAGTAGGATCTTTTGGTAAAAGTAGAAGGAAAAAGGTTATTAAAGAAAAAAAAGAAAAGAGAATCATCAGCTTTCGAAAGGTAAAATACAATCAGAATTCGAACCCAAGAAGGCCCATGCATAACAGATCAGAGTATCAGACGGATAAATTTCTCTTTTATGGTCAGCAAGAGAAGACAGCTACCTTGACTCAGAGACAGAGAGAGAGAGAGAGAGAGAAGTTGTGCAGAGGCTTAATGGGTGGTATTGAAGTAGAGGATAAGCTATACAATAAAGATATTGATGATATACGCTCAGTACTCAGTATTTTGTACAGGCTTTGGGTCAAAAGAATATTCCCTGAGTATAAAAGACTGGAAGAAAACCTTTCTACAACCGTTCCGGATTTCATCAGTGTGTTCCAACGTACCATTAATCATTACTACTCCGTATGTACTACTGTACTCCGATCCGTACCTTACGTAGTTAATCACAATTCACAACTTACAAGTAACACGGGTCCCGAATTGGTTATCATATTTCGAAGGATTAAGCTATTTTTAGCTCAAGATGTGTCAGTGTAAGGGTGTCAATTCACACATACACAAAATGAGAGATTATTGCACCAATTTTCATACACTTTTGCAGAAGGATCTTTTATTTTGTGTCAGTGTAATGCGAGATTATAACAACAGTACTCTTGTGGTTTGTTAAACATGCATCATCACCCTTTATGTTTTCAAAACTATAGGGGGTAATAGTACGCATTTAGCAAACCATAGAGGGTATCATCTCTTTTAAAATCATTTTATATACCAAAAATCACCTTAAATATGAGTAAAATATAGAGACCAAAATAGTAGCTCCATATTTTTATCCCCCAAAATAGAAGTTTGCACTGTGGTAATGTGAAACTCTATATCGCACTATAAATTGCATTTTAACTCTTATTTCGAGAATAAAAACAAGGAACTCATATTTTAGTATATTTTCATTGTTTTACTCCTACTTTAGTCTTTTTCATACAAATCGATAGAAAAATAAAAAATATAAATTACACTAATCAAAAATATATGTAAAGTTCTAGAAAAACAAAATGAGACAAGAATATATTATTTCATCAAATGGTCAGCCAAAATAAATAAAGAATAAAAGTTCTCGAGAGGCCAAAATAGTTACCGTGGAATTCTTTTTCGGACGGAGGGAGTAATAAAACTAGATGTACCCCACTTGGTGTACACATGCCTTGTAACACCCCAACTCGAATAACCCATTTACATAGATTATTTGAGCCGAAGTAGTTACCATGATGGTAAATACGCATAACAATTTGAGGAATAATTTAAAACCAATTTAAACTTTAATATAAATGATAATTTCAAATATTAAATTCAGAGTATTGCTGAAACAATGCGGAAGCTTAAGTATAAAACATAATCAAATTGTTTTACATTTTTCTGGGTTCTCGCCCGAAAAGGTATTTATTTAATTAAAACATCATAAATGTGGTCCACCAGTCCGTACATCTCGTCACTCTCATTGACCCCTGGGATGGGCTCCATGATCAGTATTGTTACCTGCGTGTAGCAAGTAAAACAAACTACACGCTCAGCGTCAGCTGAGGAATACGCTAATACAACAATTCCAAGTTGAATAGCAAGTAGACATATAATTATCATGATATGACATAATATAGCATGTATGCTCAAATGATGATTGTGATACGTAATAAATGTCATACATAGTCATAATGATTGCATTTGCTTGATGATGAATTCATGCTGTATGATTCTAGGTCACAAGGACAAGCCCTGAACTATGAGATTCGCCCATTTTGTACGACGAACTCACGCAAAAATAGGGGTGGTACTCGAAAGCCTTGAACTATGAGATTCGCCCATTTTAAGTACCATGTACGTAC